GCCCCCTACTTACAACCTGTAGGAGTCTAGAGTCTTGGGGCTTGCAAGCTAGGTAGCGAGCTCCCAATTTCCAACGGCCGGAACCCCAAACAAGGAGCTCCCCGCAAAACCCCCCGTCTTCTCCATGGTCTAACAGACCAAGCGAAGCCATATGGTCATAATCATGCTTCGAGGCTGCGAACCAGCATGAACAGTCCAGAACCGGAGAGACGGGAGATGCCATCTTTTTACTCCGTCTCATCTTGCATAATTCTTCCGGGCTCCGAATGTGATGCTCCATGATGATTGGGCCTGCGAGTGGAACCTCCCCAATGGCAGGGGACAGCGACATTCATACGTCATAGCAATAAATCAAACAGAGGCCCACCCCCTTCCGCGGATGACGGCTCATACCATGTACGCATACAGCGAAGTTCGGCTCGCGACACTGTCCTCTTTTCGCTCTAGGCTCTGGGGGTGGGTGATGTTCTGACTTCATCTCCAGACAGGACGTGACAGGCTAAAGAATCCAGCTCTCAGATGGCAATATTAGGATTGGAAATAAAGGGTTCAATCAGCAGAGAGAAATATGAGATCAGCGCTGTTTGAGAACCTTTCGAAAGGGCCCGTGAGAAGAAGCATGATGCCTAGCGGCTTGCATTGACCTTGCCTTGCCTGTGCCTGCCCACGTCAGTGCATCAAGCTTCCGGGTAAGCGTAAAAATCCTTGGCAGATCAGATTCCACGGGCAGAAAGAAAGTTTGCTCGTCTTTTCCCACGCCTGTCAAGAGACGCAACGAAAGACCTCTCTCTCTTTTTTGAGTTTTAAGTTTGAGCTGGCAGGCTGGCAGGCTGGCAGAGGCTTGTTGTAGACTTGGAGTGAAAGATGGGACACACCTCACTCATAGGCTGGCTGGCTGGCTGATTGATAGGCGGCGGGGGATGTTCAGTGTTTGGTACAGCTCCTTCTCAGCTGCGCCAGCTGGCAGCCTCAACAGGACCCAACGAAAAGAAAGTGTCGATCCGGGGGGCCCGACAGTCAGTGAAGCTCCGCCCTCTCACTCATACTATGTACACAAGGCTCATCCTCTGGGTCTCTGGTGTGTTCCATGGCGCTTCCTCCTGCTCGTCCTCCTAGGCTTCCATCGAAGCGAAGCCTGGCCTTCTGCCGTGAAACTGTGAAACTGTGGAACGACACCTCAGGCAATTGGCCGAGAGCATTGGACAAACAGTTCGATTGTCCGGACGACTCTCACTCATGTCACCGTCTCTTTCTTTTTTCCCCTTGCCCATTTCCCTTTCCCTTACGTCTCGTGACTCCGTGACTTGATCCACGTTGGAGAGAGGTATCCATTAGTAACACAGTGAGGTGCAGGTACGTGCCCGTATCCGATGTCGACGGGACTTTCGAATGGCGGGTGGTTTCTCCATACGGAATATGGGCCCTGTGGGGGGGCTGTAGGCGCGGGAATAACCACCTTTGGCGAATCACACCCCTCTATTCTCTTCTCCACCTCCTGTCGATCTCCTCCTCGCCGCCGTCGCAGCGCCCAAGTCCTTGGCCCATGGTGTCATTGCATCCGCGGGAAGGTACCTACCTCCACCACCCATGTCCATGTCTCTTTCTTTCCGGGCTACCCAGGTACCTTCTCCAAAAAGAACCCCCGGTTTTTGTTATTGTTGATGACATGTTGCTATTCCTTTTTGCATTTGTTTGCTTGGACAGCATGGGCCATGGGGAACCTCGTTCCTCCCCGTCCATCACCGCCTCATCAGAACCCACAATACATTTTGCCAATTGACTCGCTTCTCCCTGCTGAAAACAAAATGGAAAAGCGGACGGCGATGCAAGAAAAGCGGACTTGTTTCTCCGGTATTGATGTACACATGCAATTGAGCATCCAAGCATCGCATCGAGCCGAGGGCTGACGTTGTGGATATGGCGGGATAGCATTGTCTTCCTCCCCGTCAATGCCTCATCCTGCTGCTCCACGCTGTTGGCTGTGTACGTCCCGCGTGGCTTGCGAGCATAATCACTGCTGCTATCTTTGGGATCTCCAAAGTCAAGAAGGCATAGCATAGCTGTTGACGGAATTCAGGTGCCTAACAGCTGTTAGCTATCAGTCGTGCGGCTAGCCAGGCTAACCCTTTGATGCTTTCATAGAGCCAAACCGTTAGCCACGCAGAGCGCCACCGTCGTCGTCCGCCTCCGCCTCCTCGGCCATCGTCCTCGTAACCGTCGACCTTACGGCTGCCGCTCGAGCCTAGCCACATATCCACACGTCTCGAACGTGGGCTAGATTCAAGTCCGTTTGGCTAAGAAGTCCGGCCCAATGTGGCGCTTGTTTTTCGTTGAGGGTGGACGACATCATTACCCATCCCAATTGGAAATGTCGCCTCTCTCTCGGCATCGGATTCTTCGACGGTTCCTGCGCGGTTTTCTCTGCTCTGGAACATACGTACACTACAGCTGCGTCAAGCGTGGCAATCCAGCGTTTTGTCCTGCAGGGTGCTCACGGTGCTAGTGCTTGCTGGTCCGTAAGAAGCTTCCCCCCAATGAAGAGTGGCTAGTAGAGACAGAAGGGGTGGCACAGATTCAGCACACCAGACAGCAGGCTACCTCGAAATTCCTGATCTTTCCCAAGATGGGGTCATGATCCCCGGTATCCCCAGTCTCAGACATGCAGGCTTGCCAGAGGGGCAGTTAGGAAGAGCTTTCCGCTTTGCCAGTGCCGACCATGCAGCCTGTCACGCCTGTCCGTATGCCCACCGGCCAGCAGTGCCAACTCAGTCAGCTCAGCGATAGCCTGGTCTCGTTCTCATAGCTGCTACAGCTGGCCACCATCGATTGGACCTAGTTGCCAGAGTCTACTGCGTAGAGTGAGAAAGAGTACCGAGGAGGCAGTTGGGAAACTGCATGTTACCGCGGGGATGACGTGAGGAAGTGGGTCTTTGTCGTTCGCCCTTTGGTCCTACAAAGCCACAGCCCACAGAGACAGACGCAAACCACGAATAGAGCACACCTCCCTCGCGACTGGGAGTCTTGCACCCACGCATTCTGGGAAGTCTGGGATATCCGAACATGGGTCTTCCCTCCCCAGCTTCGACCTTGGCCGGGGTACGTAGTATCAAGTCTCGGAGTGCCACCCGCGGTCCGCTAGACTAGCACCAACCTAACCAAGTACTCCCCTAGCCTCCTTGGACTGACCTCCACCCCCTGGTTCCGCCTCTCGGCCTTCTCGCCCAAACAAAAGGAGGCGAAAACGGGGAAAGGAATCCCATCATCGCACCGCCCGCGCCTCGGGTACGGTGTACGGAGTACCTCCCCTTACCTACCACAACACACCAACGCGCCTAGTATTCTTGGTGCTAGGCTTGCGTGCCCGGCGTTTGGTGGAGGATTCTTGTGGTGGTGCCTGGCCTCTCTCGACGTGAGGGGGGGTGTGAGATGGATATGTGAATGACGAACGGTCCATTGGGGGCGTGAGGTAAGGAGAGGAAGAGAGGTGAGTGAGAGGATGAACGGGGACAGGCAGCTCGGCTTGGCTCTCTTTTACCAGTACTCCCCTCTGGATGGTCTCATCAGAAGATATATAAGACCTCTGTCCATCAGCCCATCCTCCAGTCGTCTCCCTTCCTCCCACCCAATCCAATTAACCCAATCCAATACAAATACCCAGTCCTCGACTATCCAATACCTAATTCAATAACTTCAATCTTTAAACCCCAAAACCAACAACCTTAAATTAGCCAAAATGCGTTTCTCCGCCGCCACCGTCTTCGCCCTGGTCTCCCTGGTCGCTGTAAGTTGAAAAGCATCACGACACACTCTCCTAACAGCTTGCTGATAGAAACTTCAATAGGCCCAGGATGCTTCCTCCACCACCCCCGCCGTCCCTGGCGCCTCTGAGGTCAGCTCCCTCATCGGTTCTGCTTCCAGCGCCATTGCCTCCGAGGCTTCCTCCATCCTGAGCGGTGCCTCCTCTGCTGCCGGTGCCGCCTCTTCGGCCATCGCCTCCATCACTTCCTCTGCCGGTGCTGAGGCTAGTTCCCTGAGCCAGCAGCTCACCTCCGCCACCGACGCCGCCGGCTCCGCCTCCATTTCCTCCAAGATCGCTTCTGTTTCCAGCAAGGCCGCCTCCGCCGCCTCCAGCGTCGCCTCTGCTCAGAGCACCTCTGCTCCTGGCGCCGCCCCCGCCCAGACTGCTGCTGTTGCTCTCGGTGCTCTCTTCGGTGGTGCTGCTCTTGTTGCCAACCTGTAAATCGGGAATCTAAAACTATGATTACGGGAACCATGGAACGAAATGGCTTAGCGGAAACGATTGAAATTTCCGGTGCGTGGTAAAGGGGACTACACAGCATTGTTTGGGCTTTTTTGGGATTATCAGAGATATCAAGATGTAATATCAGTACGAATTGTACATCAATCCAACATGAATTGTATATTCAATCATTTGATCTTCCAATTCGTGATCTGTCCACTTTTTGATGGTAGTGAGTTCTTGTAGAAAAGGCCTGTGTTGAGGAGTGTTATGGGAGGTTTTTCCTGTTGCCAGAATGAAAACTATCACACCGCAGCCGATATTGTAAGGCGTCATTTCCGGGGATGAGATGTGCAACGGTATCATTTGGTACCCTACTAAATGGCGCTTTGCCCCAACAGCAAAATGGTGCGGCAGGCCACGCTTGTCCTGCACCATACTTCGTATCCGAACCATGCATACCTACTAGTGCAAACGCCGTAGCCAGCCACTCTCCAGATGGGGCAGGCCCAGGCAAGGCAAGGCAAGGCAAGGCAAGCAATGGTGCATTTCAGTTCCCGCCACACTGCCTCACCCAATGTTTCACCGTGGGAAAAGCAAAGTAGAACATAGAATTGATTGCTTGCGATCGCGATCGCACCTGGCCTCTCCCAAGACAGTCAAAACAAAACACCCCGTACCTGGAAAATCCTGTTTGCTATTGCGCCGTGTTAATGATCTAATGGTCGGAAGGGCTCTGTCCGCATATGCTATGCTCAAACTACGCCTTCGACCGGGTATCTGCCCATAATTTATCAATGATTTGGAAAATCGCCGTAATATCCTTCATGACCTCGTCGTCCACCTGTCCGCCAAGCTTCTGCTGCATCTTGTCAGGATGCCACCGCACGCGCTCCTCGCGCAGCTTTGCAGCGAACTCCTTTTCGCCAATGTCGTCGAGGCCGAGACCGTTGACGATAAACCGTCGGACTTCCTTTTCGTTGATGTCTCTCCGTCGCCCGCTTTCTACAGGCCAGGGAATCTTGTCCACGCTGTTGGCCCACTCTGTCCAGCCTCGGGTGTAGTCTTCCCACAGCTGGACCCACGCTCTCTTCTTGCGCCGCTCCTCTCCGCGACGCAGGCTCCGCTCCATGTCCTCTTGGAGCTTCCTATTAATCTTTTCCTCTTCCTTTTTGCGTTTCCGTGCTTCTTCCCGACGCGCCCTCTCTTCTAGTAAGCCTTGGTGCGTCTTCTCCCACATCTTCTGCCTGACGTGCTGGGAGTATTCTTCGTCCGTCATTCGTTCTAGCTCGCCCTCTGGGCCCGGCCGCTCGTTCGAGTAGACGTGTATCGGCTGCCCGTACACGCCTTGCCAGTATGCCGCACCCTCGTCGTCCGCCATCGCGTCGAAGAGGGACTCGCGGAATGCGGCGTCTGGGTCCAGGGCCTGGGGTTCGTAAGGGTTCGATGGCGTCGGGGATCGTGATCGTCTGCGATGTCGCCGGCTGCTGTGGTGGTGGTGGCGGCGGCTGTGGCGGTATTCTGAGCGGGAATTGTCATCGTCGGCGGCGTCTGCATCATGGTCGCGGTCTCGGTGACGATGCGATCGGCTCGACTTTGAGTGTTTGGATTTTAATCGGATTCGGGATGATCTAGGTCGCAAGTTTTCGCCGTCGCCTGTTTCTGCTTGCGCTTGCGCTTCTGCTCCCACGTCTGTTGAACCAGGCGACGACTTGCGCTTGGTTGGCTCTGGTGTGCGCTCGTGACCCTCGCCGGGATTGACAGACGAAAGGATATGTCGCCGTCGCGGCGATGCCGGCGAACTGGTCATCGTGTTTTCTTTCGCCGGCACGCAGCAGCGACTAGATAATCTCTGTCAAAAAAAAAAAAAAAAAAAAAAAAAAAAAAGCTTGACACCGGTGAGTAAGGTAGTTGAACAAAGTTTGGAGGAAGGACAGTTGTTGGAGGGGCCGTCCTAGATTGACGTCGTTGGATTTTGGCTTATCTTATCTCGCGCGGTGCTGGTGGTTTCCTGCTTGCGGGCCTTGGCATCCCGCGTGCCTGGATCATTCCTGCCACTCCTGCGAGATAAGCTTAAACCCATGCGATAGCCCGCCTTCCCCAGACAAGGAAGGCAGGTACTTTTCTCATCGTATCTTGAGGCTCAGCAGACTGCAACGTCATCTAGGGTATCTTATCAAGCTGATCCGTACAGATAAGAAAGGTAAGGTACTCTGACGACCCCTGGCTGACGTTTCTGTCCTAATATTATTCGCGGAGGAAAACACCAACATCCTGTTCACGATGTCTGCTTTCGTATGGCGTCATTCACTTAGGTTGTGAAGCCAATTAGAGGCATGGAAATACTCCATCTCATCAACTCTACCTCTGCAATGTACAATCAGATGGGCAGAGACATACAGCCCTGGGCAAGATAGGAGAGATATCCAATAGACGACTACACACAAACGACATTGTCATTTATGTAATACCTGATCTTGAGAGGCTTGTCAGGCTTGGCCGCGAGCTCTTGCGCCACGGGATGGGTGGCAACGTCGGGGCCCTTCGCCATGGCTCACAAGACAAGATGCCATCCATAAAGGCTTCGATTGTAGAGAGACTGGATACCAGAGGACCGTCCACATGTGGTGCAATAAATTCGCATTTGGTGCCGCGCCACTCTCGTCGGTCAATGGTTCTCAAGACAACAAAGCGATCGAACGCTGAGAGGAAGCAACTTGCCTCGACTCGCCGAACGGTAGTTGGCCAACAGTCGATTCCAGCCGGTACAATCCCTGCAGAGCTGCTGTGATACGTACGGAACCGCCGGTGTCTGTCCCGGACCCGACCAAGCTACCGTGACAACCTATGAGTGCCGCTTCGCCACCTGAGCTGCCACTAGAGATCAGCTCATGGTTGAGTGAGTTCAAAGATTATTGGAAAACATGATTGTAGGAGTCTGAAAGCTGACGATCTAATTTATAACCACAAGGTGTCTCAAACCCCGAAGTGAAAGGGGCGTGGGAACCCCCGCGGCGTCAAATACGACTTGAATCACGCGAGAGGTGGACAGTGTATCAGTCATAGCTTTTTCCCTGCGAAGGCTACAGACAACGGGCTGTCTGGAGGACATCTCATTTCACGGACGTGCCGCCTTCCAGTGTTCTCGGCCAGCGGCCTTTGACTGACGGCCCCATCTTGATCGACCTACCTTACACGGCGGCCTCTCGGCGGAAGATACTCTCGAGAGACCAGCAAGCTGAAGTCGACGATTCAAACTGGACTACTCAATATTTCAAGTATCTCGATCACTTTCGTGAGAAGATAAACCATATCCAGACCGACGGGCAGCAACCAGGCGATACCATAACCGACGATTCCCTGTCCGGCATATGGTTCTTTGCATGGAAGCGAATGAGGCAAAGCATTCCTGCGGATAATCGGACGAAGAATATGCCTTGTGTCATACTGCTGCTGTAGAAGCACTGCTTCAATCCGTGGATCGAAAGGGGATCAAAGCTATCTTCGGCATCGCGACCTTTGCCTTTATAGACGTGTACAAGGAAACCTTCGCAGCCTGGTAGCGGCATCTGAGAGGAGCCCGAGCGGTTCTCGACCTGCATAGCGCAACACCAGAACGCTTTGTAGACCTCTGCTCTGAAACCAGCGGCCTTCAGGAGGCCGTGTCTCTTCTTTGCTGGTATGACACCACCGGGTTGATGATCAGGCGGGATCGAGGATAATCTTTGAGGATTGGCATCGAGATTTGGTGGACGATAAGCTATTTGACGTTGTAGGATGTCTATAGGACGTCTTCCAGGTATTCACCGTAGTCGCGAAAGAGGGCTTCGAATGCGAATCGAGGCATCCTGACTTGTACTTTTCTGCAACGGAACAACTACTCAAGACATCACGCGGTAATCGCTACCACGGAGACCTTTGGCGGGACGCTTGGAGATACTCCACGATGATGGCCATCTATGAAGCGGAGTCAAGTGTAAAAAAGTCAGGTTCAAAGCCATCGGGTAGGAGCTGGCAGACCGCACTTGCGACATTCTACAGGTAACAACGGCGGGATCGGCAAAGTATCGCGCCATCTGTCATTTGCTGCTTTCATGGTCGGCCGTCTTTCCCAGTCTTCTGATCACTCTCAGGCCGCCCAAAGATATTGGGAAACATGCAATTCTCTGGACGATCCAATATACTCTAGCGGTGACCACATGTCTATGGAACCCATGAATAGGTCTACATAGCCACTCCAAGTATCTATACGTAGGGGTACGTGATGTCAGCTTACGTTGTTTGAAGTCTGTCATGGCATCTGGCACACAGGCAAGGCGAGTTTCTTTGTACTGTACATGGGGTCCTCGAGAGTGTTTATATTTGCTTGAAGCCATCCGAGTCCAAAGAGGCCGGCACTGCAATCATATACTGCTGTGACAGCGATTTCATGGATTATCATAAAGCCTAGTTGGCGTCTGCCATTGCCTTCTCTTCCCACACCCTCAATCTCAGTTCTTTCTCCCTTGCTGGTATTATTCCAGGCGTAATAGAGAGGTGTCATATCTTATCTCATCAAATAATACATATCGAGCTCGGGGCCAATGTACAGTTCCTACAAAGCTGTAGCAGTATCGTCGGGTCTAGAGGCCTCTATGGCGGCAATGATGCCTTCCAGCCGCTGCTTCAGAGAATTGCTGGCTTGAGCCAGCATCCATTCTCCTGCTTTCCTGGGGATCCACGGTGGCAGTGAACAAGGAACCCAGTCTTTGTGGACAACGCTTCCCCAGATGGCCTGGTTACGGCGGCGGTGGTGATAGTAGAAATATTGAACAAGGTGCATACAGGATGGGCAGCATAGCCTACTCGAAGGCATGATGACAATATCGTCTTGGAATAGATCCGTGACTTCTTTGTCTGGGAGGACTATGCCGCTGTTGATCGAAGCCGGACTGAGGTTGTCTCGTTCTCTGGCGAGGAGCTGCAAGCAGAGCATCGTGCTTTCGCAGTGGCATCCGCCACTGGAGTAGGTACTGTCGAAATCGTACTCGCCGACCGTGAGGTTTTTGCTTTTGTTTTCCGAGTTGATCCATTCCAGGATCTCGCCCAGGGGATCGGGGTGCTCTGGGTCTTCCTCACCAGTAAACCCTAACTCTTCCTCCAAGACTTTCCTGATGGACATCATATTGTGATCATTTTATAAAGCCTGTTTCCCAACAAGTGGGAGTCTCAATTTGGGAACCTGGTAGCCCGAAACATTGATCAATTTATTTCCTATTCTAATATTCGCGACTACTTTTTACGGACTTCTCTTGGCCATCTCCCGTGCATATAAGAAGTTGGCGAGCTTGCCTTGTCCGTAGAGAGAGGATTATCCTAGAGTTGCGTACTTCCTCTGCTTCTTCTTCTTCTTCTTGTCGTTGTTGCCTTCGTTCGTGTCTGCTATAGAGCTTGAAGAACCCGGTATCGGGCTCTGTGAAGCTTGCATAGAGCTTGAAGGACCAGGAGTTGGACTTGAGGAAGCCGTAGCAGAATTTGGAGGGGGGCCGCCCATGAATAGCTGCCTTGCAGCTGAATTTCCATGCTCTTCGACTCTGCGGAGAAACTCGGCGGGCATTGTAGCAGAGTCATCCAGAATCTTGTAACTCTTGACTAAGTAGTCGCTCTTGAACTGTTCCCAAAGCATCCACTCTTGGGTTCCCTCCTTGTAGCCAGGCCTTGGATAGTATGGGTCATTTTCCCAGAATGCTTTGACAGCATCATCAATGCCCTTGGGAGTGGGCGGCATTCTTCTGCATTGATTGAAATCCAGTAGGAAGATGCTCACGCTGCGTCGGAGAAAGTTGATGCCGCTTGATTTCGATTCATCCATATTCCACGTCGTGATGATATCCCCTTCAAGGTCAATTGAGTCCAGGGTTTGAGCAGATATGCGACGCTCGGGAGAACTGCCAAGAACGAATTCGACATCTGCACCATCAATCTGAGCAGCCCAGTGCATGACCGCCAAAGCCTCAGCCATTGGCTGAACATATTGCTGGGGGTCTACACCCAAGATCTCCATCTTGTCGAGCGTGAGTTCAAAGTTTCGCAGAGAGAATTTGTTTTCGACTCGTTGATTCATGCGTCTGCGTCCAAGGTAAAGGCGTATCAAGCAATGCTTGTTTGCTGGGTTGTTTGAAGCGTCGGCTTTCATGTCGGACGGACAGAAGACGGACACAAGCGCTTCGCGAATGCTTCGAGGTAGTGGGAGAATGCGTTCAGATACCATGATCGCGCTGGGATCGAAGAAAAATCCTGAGTGACTCTTGATCTCCTTGCGGTGAGCAATCTTCCAAGCTTGAAGGTCCTCGACTTGTACGATATATCCAGGTCTTGGCATGGCGTAAGACTTTGTGGTTTTCGAAGCCTCCCACATCTTGACGTGAGCCACATGATCAGCCCACATCTCTTGCTTTTTGTTTGATCTACCGGCCTTGATGATGAGTCCCCTGCTAGGGAAGTCGTATATCACACCGCAAAATCCTTCTCCGATGACTTGAAGCGGAAGATCTTGCTCTGCCGCTTGTTGTTGGCGGATAGCAAATGACGATGCTGTGCTCAGAACTGCGTTTACCGAAAGAAAACGTTGGAGAGTCGTAGTGCAGGATTCATCATGTTGATCAATCTCTATAGCGTCGCCTTGCTGGACATACTTGGTCGCGATGGTAAGGTTTTCGAAAAGCGATGGTGAAATGGAGTATCCCGACTCGTCGGTTTTGTTCCCCTCGCGTCTTTTCCGGGGATCTGACATCCTGATGATAGTTTTATGAAGCTCTCTCTGTGTGATCGAGAATGCAGGTATGATCAGCTTCGAATTAGTATTGTGAAATGTCTGGGGGAGGGAGTTGAGGTGGGAGAGAGGAAGAATTGAGAGAGAAGTGTAAGAAGAAAGGGTGGGAAGAAATCTGAGAAGGAGGTATAGAGGTTTCCTTCCTACTTTGCAAGCGAGTCGATTTGTTCCTGCCGAAGTAAGAGAAAAAAAAAAAGAAGCTGGAGGCGTGAGGCAGGTCCTTCTTGTATAGAGGAGGCAAGACCGTATCGGAGAAAGAGCTCTTGACAAGCTCAGGAAGGTGGGCGGTAGGCACCACAAAGGTCATCTTGCTCATAAGAATCTCAACAACCTGCACAACCGCCAGAGTTCACCATAGTGGCATTCCTCTCCTCTCTGCATCGCCGCTATAACATGTCTATAGACGCGAGTAAATAGCGCTACAATATAGCGGAAGTATATCTTAACAACGCCCGCCAACTTAAGTTATTTAGCTCTGTTAATAAGCGTTTAATAAACACAAGCTTTTAATAATAATATTGAATAGAGGGAACGTTATAATGACCCTTATACCTTATATACCCTTATAACCCCGTCGACTCACCACCACCCCGCAACAAGCTCGTAAACAATGAGCCTTCAACATTGTCTGAAGCAGCCTGTTATATTATTGTCTTGGTTACTCGAATCTTGCCCGAATCTTGTTGTCAAGGCGAACAGGTCAATGTTCTTCGCGAAAATGCATGTGTACCTGTGAGGCACGGCTCGGGACATGATATCTTTCTCAAGACACCTGGTCGGATTTCTTCGTTAGTAGGAGTCAGAGACACCTCGTGTTCAAGTCTATGGTTGTATCGAGAGGCTGATTCCGGACGATAGGTTTGATCTTTCTCTAGGTCGTAGACTCATTTCCTCCTCTGCGCGCCTTCAAACTCATGAGTCCAGAGCCATCACTCTCGAGGTATTCGATTGTGACAGGATGAGTAGTGAATTTGTCCCACGGCATTCAGTAATACCAAATATTGGGTCAACGAACATTGGTCACAGCGCCGAAAGCTGTAAGTTCACTCGGCGACGGAGTGCTCTGGAGAGCCGCGGAACCTGAAAAGGTTCTTCGGAAGCACGGCCGGATAATGCCCTACATATTACGGTAGCGGACAGCAAGGTAGGGTCAGTCGTGGTATAGGGGCAGCCTATAGGGGCAGCCCTTTTTTCGAGAATCTGTAAGAGCTTGGGACTTCTGGTTGCGGACAGTCAATTACCCCGCGAAAACGCCGCGAAACGGGTAAGACATGTTTGATCCGCAACGGGTTCTAGATTCCATTGCCGCTCTGGAACCAGTCTTTGACTGAATGTGTAGATCGAAACCGAAGCCGAGACCAGCTGGATGGTAATTCACTTCTCTGGCTTCACCGTTGCAAAGACTGCAATTCAATGTGCGCTGACCTTGTGATTCCAGATTCACCATAATGGGGCGAGAGAGACTTGTTCACAGGAGGCAAATTAGCTGCCTGGCGGAAGAGCGTGTAGTGGCGTGGGAATGTGGCTTTCTGACACGCCAGGCAGATGGGAGCGCCTGGCCGTTAGCAGCCACCGCATTTCAAGTCCATGATAACCATGTCGATTTCAATGTTTCATGGTTGTACATGAGTCGCGGGAAACAGAGGCAATTGAAACTCCCGACCATCGCATCGCGATAAACGCGAAGGTGCTGTCTACACTACAGAGTCAAAGGTTTCACCGAACTCTGAATGTCACGGATCGGGGAAATAAGAAAAGCAATGTTGCATGCAACGTCCCGCAATGTGTTTCTGTCTTGGCCATCCGGGGAAACAAGGCTTGTGAGTTGTGACACCTTGAGGTAGGTAGCTTGCCAAAGCCTGCTTATGTAAGGCAAGGTACCGGAGCTATGGTGCACTACCTATGGTAAAAGCCGTCTGTGCTTCAGGTTATGCATCTCATCAATTATTCATTGTGATCCATACCTACCTACATCGAAGATTGCTCCGTTATCGCATTGGACCCTCTTTGCTGACGAAGGACGCAAGGCGTGGCAGGATGCGGTAAGCGGTGCACGCAAAATACGGCAATACGCGGCACCTGGTGCCGGACTGAATTATCCGAGCGTGTTATCTGAAAAGACTGAGATGCAAGACGCTGACACGCGGGACCCTCGTTTACAAGGAACATGTCTCCTACACTACTCCACGACGTTAGCGAGTGATGGCTCTGCGAGCACTGAGTTGTGCATGCATCGGAGGTACCGGAAAAGTATCGCGAAAAAGCCGAATGCGGGACAAGGCTGCAATGCAGGTCGTCATAGCTCCCCACCTTTCCGTGAGCTAAACTACGGTGAGCCCTGTGGTTGGGTAAGCCGCGGGTTGGCTCTCCGAACCCGAAGGTGTGAGACATGGACCAGTCACCAGTGACTGCGACGGGGAGGTGCCAGGTGCTTCTTTCCCCAGGGCCCAGCGTCCACAAAGCTGACAAACCATGCAGCGGAAGTGGGAGGGCAGCAGCGTCACTCGCACTCTGGAACCACAAGAGCAACACCGAGCTGGCTCTCCACCACAGAGCACCTCCCCCGTCCACTTCACGGTACGTCGCATGCGTTTACTCCGACTCGGTCGCCCGCCCTCAAAACTTTTCCCACGTCGCCAACGTCGCCCCCGTGACAATTTCCTGATCCCTCTTCCAGTGTATACGTCTAATTGCGCTGCTCGACAATTCCGATCAGCCAATTTCAACCCTACTACGAGAGGCCCCACGAACGCCCGACCGACAACTTCCCTTCCGAGTAGTACTTCTGTCTAGCATGCGTTAAACAGGCGGGTTGGGGGAAACCGCAGAAGAGCAATCGCCATGGACTACTCCGATTACTCGCCGCAGCGCATCTTGCATACAGGCTCGTTCACCGGATTCCATCGCCTGGGACAGCTCGGTAGCAATTATCTCTCTGCGACTGCAGAGATCAAGCAACCGCTATGCGGTAACGAAGAGGGTTGGGGCCCGCTGAGCCCCATCCGATATGACTTTACACCCTGCTTCATCGATGTCTGGATCGCTTCTGTGGCAGCGTTTGGTCTCGTCTTTGGATCTCTGGCCATTGTATGGCTCATCCAGCGCAGGAAACCTTCCGATGCCCCTAAAGATTGGCACTTTTGGGTTAAGCAGGTAAGTGCTCTCTCGCGGGCTCTCTTATCCAGTCCGTAGCTGACCAGCCGCCCCTCACAGACACTCCTCGGATTGATCATTGCCAACGTAACAGTACAACTTGCTTTGCAAATCGTCAATTACCCCGATGTTTGGTTTGGCGACTTCCGATTTTGGACAACGGCTGCGACAATCCTTTCTCTGGGCGTCATCTTTGCCATTCAATGGCTTGAGCATGCGCGCCTGCGTAACCCCAATGGCGTCGTCCTCTTCTACTGGCTTTTTCTCTTGATTGCATACTCAGTCAAACTCCGATCCTTGATCTCTCAGCAGCTCTACGAGACTAGCCCAGCCTACTTCATCACTTACACTGTCGGCTTCGGCCTCTCTGTGGCCGAATTCCTGGTCGAGTGGTTATGGCCAAGGAAAGTCAGTGCATACGAGGCTCTGATCGACGAGGAAGAATGTCCCATTGAATACGCCACAGTATTCTCCCAGTTGACATTCTCCTGGATGACTCCTCTGATGCGCTATGGATACAAGCAATACTTGACTGAAGATGATCTTTGGGGGCTCGCTCAAAAAGACCAGACCAAGAACACTGGTGACGCGTTCAACAAAGCTTGGGAGTACGAGCTCAAGCACCACAAGAATCCGTCTCTGTGGCTGGCCATGTTCCGTGCGTACGGTGGTCCATACGCCATAGCTGCGCTCTTCAAGGCTGTTAACGATGTTACGCAGTATCTTCAGCCACAACTTTTGAAGTATCTTATTGCATTCATAGCTTCGTACGACACTGAGAATGATGAGAAGGAGCAACCTCCGATCAAGGGTGCTTCAATCGCCTTGGCAATGTTTGCGTGCGCCGTTTTGCAAACCTCCATGATCGTGAGTTCCCCATTGTAAAAGTTAGCAAGACGAGGCTCCACTAACACGCGCCAGCATCAATATTTCCAGCTAGCATTCGTCACCGGTATGCGGATCAAGGGTGGTCTGGCATCGGCCATTTATAAGAAGTCAATGAGACTGTCCAATGAGGGACGCGCATCCAAGTCGACCGGCGATATCGTGAACTACATGGCCGTCGATGCCCAGCGTCTACAAGATCTGACCCAATTTGCTCAGCAGGTCTGGTCTGCTCCCTTCCAGATTGTTATCTGCATGGTGTCATTGTACCAATTGGTTGGCTGGTCAATGCTTGCTGGTATTGGTGTCATGATTATCATGATGCCTGCGCATGGTTTCATTGCCAGAATCATGAGAAACTTGCAAAAGGAGCAAATGAAGAACAAGGATAAGAGGAGTCGCCTGATCAACGAGATCATCAACAACATGAAGAGCATCAAGCTTTACGCTTGGGGTGCCGCGTTCATGAACAAGCTGAATTTCGTTCGCAACGATCTCGAGCTCAAGAATCTTCGTAAGATTGGAGCAACCCAAGCTTTCGCCAACTTCACATGGAGTACTGCTCCATTTTTTGTATC